GAGCAGTTCGAGCACGTTAGTTCGTAATGGGACGAGTGTTAAGGGTCACACAATGTTTTGGGTGCTGAATGGAATCAACAATATGTATATGCATACCTAGCGTCTTTCGTTAGTATACCTGCTAGCTCTTCAAGATCAATCATGGAAGGAATGGAAATGTCCGGTGGTGATAAATCCAGATCCAAGCTTTCCCGCATTCGTTTAGAAACGTACGCAGAATCGCTACAATCCATGGAGAACGTGAATTTCTTTCTGCACATGGTAAAACTGTTAATAAGAAAGCTCAGGGCTGCCTTTTGTCTGTGTGTATTATCTGTACAGGAGCAGCTGTTGAGAACAATTCATCGTCTTGCATTATTCTCTCCAGGCTAACTGCCTCTGCGTATGTTTGTGCGAACAATATAATTTCAAATTTATACCTACCGACACTCATGCGGGTTTCTTTATGTCAAATAAGTTTAATTCCGGTGCAGGTGGCAGTATGTGCAATACCATTTTCTCAATTGTAAAGGTAGATGCTTTGATTTATCTGAGTTCGTTAACACCCTGGATCCATAAGTAGGTACAATCGCAATGGTTTTGTCGACAGATACCTCGACAACGATGAAAATCTGCGAATGCAAGTAAATATAGATATGTGCCACGCACAAAACAATATGTCGCTCATTCGAAATGGAATATTGCCAAAGTTTCCGCCACGTGTGGATAATGGGACAAAAACATATCCCCGATATACGGTAGCATCAGCCATTTGCATTGCACAGCACTAATTGGATCGGTTCTGAAATTGTTTTTTGGTGTGCTACATCAAAATATTCCAACCGAAGGGGATTTAAACGGTTTCACAACTATGTCACCCAAAGTCGTAAACCATGGAATAACCGACTGTCGCCCGCAGTCTGTTGTATTGTTGACGGACGGTTCACTAAAGACACTAAAGATAAGTTGTCATGGCGTCGGTTCGAGTAAACGGTGCCATCAACTGCAGTTTTGGTAACGCCCCGTTGCAAACGTCAAATTCTTTGACTTTGAGTGTCATCTCATAACCCTGTTGGTGCATACGGACTGGCTTCCGCAGCTCGTTCAGTCATGCGGCAGAAAACTTGTTCGGCAGGAGCTTCTTTGATGTAGTCGATCACTGTATCACTTCCATAAAAGACTAGAAAGAGATCGCTGTAAATTTGTCCAGTGGGCCGAATTGGTGGATATTTTTAGTCAAGTAAACCCGACAATGTACGTTTTTTATGTTTAACTTATACCTACGACTGAGACGATCGCCTCCTCCTTAGCCCCAAACAATAATACGGGTGAGGGAACACCACTGGAGAACACCAGTCAAAGTTTATTCTGGGATCATGATGTGATAAGTGAATATTCGCTGGTAATTTGGGTGAATGTGAAAAACGTTGTAATGCACCGATCAGATTGTGTTCTTCACAATCTGACTGGTCGATCGGACGACAGCTGTCTGATTCGGCCCAGTCATCCAATCCGGAATAGACGCGCCTTGAGCGTCGCGAGCGTGTTGTGGTGTAAGGCGGATCTGTGCGCAGCTTGACGGGTTTCCGCGAGCTCCGTCCTAACTATGCTGCAAACGGCCTCCTGTTTGCCGTACAAATTCATGTATTGTACGACAAATTTCCATGTGTTGCGATCAACATAATCCAGGTTTACATCAATTCACCAATTCTCTCTACTCATCAAGTTAGTGAATAAGGATAAGTGTATGAAATTGTTGTATAGATTGTGGGGTAACAAACCAAGTAAGATAATCAGCCAAAGGTTTGGTAAAAGCTGTCGAAACTCGCTTGATTTTCAAGTTTCAAAGTCAGCAAGCCGGTCACCACAACCGTTCGAAATCACGCAGTATTTGATCTTGAGTCCTGCTTAGGTGATCGTCAGTTACACGGAGTATTGGGCCATCAATTGCAATGCTTTCGTAAACAGCTCCAAGACATCACAGTTTTATTATTTTTCATAAGGTAGAGGCAGATTGCGTGTATGAAGTCAATGGGAAACAAACTGATCATGTTAATCTGCAATGACTCGATTGGTACGTCACCAACATGATGCTTTGGTCGATAGTCATAATCTGTTGGCCAAAGTTTTCTTTGTGTTATGGGAATATACGCGCCGATTCTCAACTTCACCTTTTTCCGTAAACATAAAATACTTGAAATGGCCGCTATGTCGTTTCGCTTATTTGATGTAGCTTTTGCCAGTACGTCTTATGTAACACTATGCAAGCTGACTTTCAACCTCATCGTGTTTTCGGATGCATATTCCAAACAGGCTAACTCTACAATAGTTGCTGACATGTATTCTTCCACACTGCCACGCTTAAAACACAACTGTATAACCGTGTATCACAGAATCGGCTAAAGTTGATATTGTGAATTTCTGAATGATTAAAATCCAGCAACATGCAGCTGTAGAAGAATATTTTTTAATTGTATTATTGGTGTTGTGAAGTACTACCCACATTTGTGAGTAGTGTGGTTGGAGCGCGCGAAAGGGTGCAATTGGTGGTTCTTCTCAACCGTCGAAACTGAACAAAACCTCTTAGAGCGAATAGCTGTGTTCAAAAATGGCAACTACGGGAAATGCACATCTACTGTTGGACCGTTTCATTAATTATCCTGTGTGATTGAGAGAATTCCGAAGATTTATTCCAAATTTCGTTATATATATGCCAATTTACCGATACCCATACCGTTATTCGTACTAAATAACTTTCTTCATCCCGGCACCGTCTTGTAAAATTGCAACAGTAGGATGTCTTCGAGAACTCGGCTCATGCCTTCTTCAAGCCCAAAGTGTAAATATTTCCTACTTTTATTCAGCCTCTTGGATATTCAGATCAGAGATCCTATAAGTTGAGCGGGTCACTGGGGGAATCACGATGTTAAATCCAAAGTTCTCTCAACATAGCTCTAACTTCCCTAATGGGGGGTATCTTGAATAGCAATCTGTCTTGCAACGCGACGGGCAGACGGGATGGTATCATTAACATCAAAGGATGTAGAACGAGGGGATAAAATACATACAATAGCGTATTATCACAGTATACACTGAAGCTGCTTCAGATACCACTTGACGGCCTCCACCACATCTGGGTTATTCAGTGGTGCGAACATTTGTCCTTATGTTGGTATTAATAGACTGATGACATAAAATTTAGTTCAGGTAATGGACATATCATTCTGTGACGACTTTTACGGGAGTGTCTTCAATTAATTCAGTTAATACACCAGTCTTGGCATCGCGATTAAATATATATAAATATATATATAATTTGATTCATGTTCCAATTTCGAGATCATGGATCCGGATCATTCGGGTCTGCAAGTATTAAGTAAAGAAAATATAATTAATTTCATTTCAAATTGAATTATGCAATGGTAAAATAGGATAGCTTGGAAAGACGTACTAAGAGCGCGGGAATCCGAGGGCCAACGTCGTTGAACCCCTCTTTGAATGTGTTCCTAAACCAACTTTATGCTGGAATCTTGGTATTTCTGCCTCATTACTGCATCTGTACTTAAAGGTATTTAGTGATCTATTGTTACTTACCGTAAATCGAGGAAACTATTTCCCTATCTATGAGGGCTGATTTACCGTTGAAACCCCTCCAGTTAACAAATTTCAACATCTTTTCAAAAACCAATAATCGCAATATATCCTGAGTACAAGCTCCGGCGGATTTAGCACCCGTTTTGGATAGCATATTGATCTATAAACAGAATAGTATTCATATGTACGCTACGCATCATAAATTACATGCATGAATTCCGTATGCAATACATTTAGGCTTTCCGTTCGCTGGTTTTCTATTTCTGACTGCGCTTTAGTCCAGATGGAATTTTTTCTGTTTGTATTACGACCAGCTCGAATTTATTTTCTAATTGCCGAACATCACAATTTACTTAGTGTTTATAGCTAGGATAAATTAATAAATTCTAACATGCGTTTACTGAGAGATTAAACTTCTTTTGTTACCCGAAAGTGAAAAACGATTATGCACTTATAAAAGGGCTCAAAATGACCTGTTTTGAGTTAGATATGTCCAAATGAAAAAATTACAAATGAACCTAAAGGGATGAGTACTTAGGCTTCTCAAATAAATCTGTCAAGCTTTACTTTGGCGTAAACTGTCTCCTATCATCTTCACAAAGTAACATACAAAAAATATCAATATGTGTACGGTGAAACAAACGAAGATTGTTGTTCTTGTTAGACATTAGAACTGTTTGATCTCCACTCAACTCAGTCTGCCATCCCAAACCCTCCGTTCATCATCATTATTATTGTTGCGTTGNNNTCATTATTATTGTTGCGTTGTCATCAGGCTTGTTCGCAAGCCAGTGATGGATATTTATTCACTTGTATACTGCTTTCAATATTCCACTTTTTCTACTGCTCCTTCATTTAAACGAAATCAATCCGAAGCACCGTACAAAGTGCAGGATTATTGATTTTTAAACAAGATTAACCTATTGTTTTGTTTGTTTTTGATCATCTCAGAGAGAAATCATGTCTGAATCCGAGTTACAAAGTCCGGCCATTCCGACGCCATCTGATGTATCCTCTGGTCGGTTTGAGTCGTATGAAGACCCGGATCTGCATTTCGACTTATTACCCATGCCATATAGAATGTTGGACAGTCTTCTATGGGATCTGTTCCATTCAGCCTGGTCTGTGATTATGGAGCGACAAAAGCTATTCATCATGGACGATGGCATCCTTATACATATTGGACTGGGAGATGCGATAGTCAGTAAACACTCATATAAATTGTCACTTCTTGCAGATCAAAGAACCGACAACACACCTGTTTGGCGTGATCGAAAATTTCATTGGTTTGAGCACAAAAAACAAAGTTGTGCTCTATGGGCGAGAGCAGTTAGATAAAAGTTTGGGGGAATTCATATGTGACGAGCACGTGATTCGTACGTTCGTCCTGCGTCCTGTGGACAAAATCCTATCGATCATCATGACCGTGGATGATATGGGTAAGATTCATTGGGATCACCCGTTAGTTTGTGTCTGTTCTCAGGCAAGGCGTTCATCATCCTCGCTTTGAACGGCCGAATGCGGGTTGTTAAAAGTGTATCCCAATCCCAGGATGGAAAATCGTTTCACGTGTTGACTGGGCACGTCTCTGTGGATGGACGTGTTTGCACGTTTGTGGTACAAGGTGAGTACGCATCTTGTCCAGTCGATCAGAACTGCTTTGAATGGAAAGACCGAAAATGAACTGGTGTCTTTGGTGGAATCGCATTATTCCCCTAACTCAGGGTCACGCCCCGTATATTGGGTGTTGGTTTGAAACTGAATTCGGATTGCATGGTCGATCACATAATCTGACGACCTGAAATACATGCACCTAGTGTTTGAATATGTCGCTTGCATCGCAAAGGCTATTTGCAATTTTTTCAGTTGTCAAAATATTGAAACCTCATTTTCATTGATTGCTCAAAGTTTACATTCAGCCGGTTCATTTGATCAATCCTATCGGCTAATCATGTCTTTCATCGTTTACGCAAAAGCAAATAGAAGATAATAGAACCTTTATTGGCCATTTCCGTGCATCTTTATCCCCTTTGAACAGATAAGGAAACCCGTGAAATTTGGCTTGAAGTGTATTCTCTACCAGTGGAGAATTGGATCAAAGAGACAGGCCTTATTCAACGGGCAATGGAACGTCCAATTTCGAAAGAACAAATGAGTGAAGGAGTGAGTCTAACCGTAAACATGAACAAAATAAAAATTGGTTCAGCGAATCCCATTGAAAATGCCCATGAAGAAGTTTAAACATTGTGCATCTCGGATTACGGAACTGTTTGCTGATATCGTGATATTACCTCAGTGTTATCCAAGCCAATGGAATTGATGATACACAAAACATTCAAAGAGGACCTTTTGATGAACTTTCGCCATCCTAGTGATCTTTGTCAGTGAACGGGCACTCGAACCCCAGTTGTTTAACATTCATCTAGACATACACTATGAGCGGGGGAAGGCAGATTTGTGTTTTAGGGAGGGCAAGCCTATTGAAATGATTCTTTTGGAAACTTTTAAATTGCATTCCACATAGCCTTGTGCTTGTCACAGAAGGGTGACTAATATCAGAGATACGATGGTATGTGTCGACCACAAATAAAAGTAAATACAGCACAGATTACGTAATTCAGATCGTCTGACGGCATCCGGTTGTATCTAGGCCGTTGTGATCGAATGGCAGATGGTGATAGATCAAGATAAAAAGAATGTGATTTTTCTATGCGGATCTTGTGAGCACAACGCATCCAAGAATGAAGACCAAACGATTTTCGTATTAGAAAAAAATAATCATAGGAAGGAATGAAACGCGATTGATGGCGGATGAGTCGTGACGAAGAGCAAAGAACTTTCTAAATTAGCTGCGATAGGTCGCTAAAGAGAACTAATAGTACGCCATTTGTGGGCTTTAATTGGTGGATCCTAAACGACGCGTTACGACTACAAGCAAGGAGGCACACTTTTGGAGCAGTTTTTTTATAAGATTGTGAAGTACTCCAAATCCGCTGTGAGATCCAGAAATGAGAAGAAACTGAAGGCGGTATCAGAATGCGCTAGTATATTTTTGATACTTTGTTTATTAATAAACGTTTAACCCAGGCTCATGCTTCAAAGTATATTTTCTCTTTCCAGTCCAGAATCTCAGACAACGTTGACGCAATGGACGTGGTTTGGAACGAGGTAAACCTATCAATCCCAGTGTTATATTGCAAGATAAAAGCCCCCGTACGGTTCACAGGTAAGCTTGGATCGATATTAGTGAGTTAAGTAGGGGATGACATTTGCATCTTCTTCAATATGGTCCAAATCGAGCTCATAAAGCATTATTTTTAGTTTTCTTTCGCACATGGTTAGAAAGAGGGTAGTTAAAGATTTATTCTTTCAGGAGGTGTGGATTTTTAATGTTAGGGGAATATTGCAATGATTAAGAAAAGTGGGCGAATATAATTCTCTACCGACATCGCTGTGTTATTAACACTATAACAATCAGGAAAAGTTTGTTGAAAGCACTGTAAGGTGCCTTGTTCAGAA